CAAGTGCATACATGTTTATATTTGTTTTATCTTTTTGATGAGTTGAACCTTTTATGAATATATAATGTACTTCTTTGTCTCTTGTAACAATTTTTGACTTACAGTCTATTTGGTGTGATATTTATATAGCCACTACAGACTCTTTTATATCTTTTTCCATCTTCTTACTTTTAACCTATTTGTGTCTTTGGATCTAAAGTGGGTCTTGGCTGGGCATGGCAGCTCATGCCTGTAATCCCAACACTTTTGGAGGCCAAGGTAGAAGAATCACTTGAGTTCAGAAGTTTGAAACCAGACTAGGCAACATAATAAGATCCCATATCTACAAAAAATAAAAATAACTAGGTATAGTGGCACATACCTGTAGCTCCAGCTACTTGGAGACTGAGGCAGGAGGATCATTAGAGCCCGGGAGGTTGAGGCTGCAGTGAGCCTTGATCACATCACTGTACTCCAGCCTAGGCAACAGGGTGAGACCCTGTCTCTTAAAAAAATAAAGAAAATAAAGTGAGTCTCTTGTAGACAACACATAGATAAATTATGGTTTTTTTTTTTTTTTCAATCTATTCTTCCAACCAAAAAAAAAAAGACCTATTCTTCCAAACTTTGTTATTTAATTGGGGAGTTTATTCCATTTACCTTTAAAGTGATCACTGATAACAAATACTTACCCCTGCCATCTTGCTATTTGGCTATATATTTTTGTTTCTTAATTCCTCTAATATTGCCTTTTGTATTTAATTGATTTTTTGCAATGTGCTGTGTTGATTTTTTTTCACGTTACCTTTTTGATATTTTTTCCTTTTTTTTTCTTTTTCAATTTCTTTCCTCTGACAGGATACAAGACAAACACTCAGTTTGCCTGAGTTTTAAAAGGATATTTCCTTTGCCCCAATTAATGAGCAATAAAGACATAAATCCATTTTAAAAAGTGAACAGGGGGTTTTTCCATATTTTTAAAGGTTATTTTTCTATTGGACAGGCATGGTGGTGCAGGCCTGTGGTCCTAGCTACTCAGGAAGCTGAAGTGGGAGGATCACTGGAGCCTGGAAAGTTGAGGCTGCAGTGAGCGGTGATCGTGCCACTACACTCTAGCCTGGCTGACAGAGTGATACCCTGTCTAAAAAAACAAAACAAACAAACAAAAAAAACCCACTTATTTTCCTTGTGGCCATTTTGGAGATTACAATTAATATCTTAAATTTCATTTATTTATTTATTTATTTAGAGACACAGTCTCGCTCTGTCTCCAGGCTGGAGTGCAGTGGCGTGATCTCAGCTCACTGCAACCTCCGCCTCCCGGGTTCAAGTGAGTCTCCTGCCTCAGCCTCCCGAGTAGCTGGGACTACAGGTGCAGCTAATTTTTGTATTTTTTAGTAGAGATGGGGTTTCACCATGTTGGCCAGGATGGTCCTGATCTCTTGACCTCGTGATCTGCCCACAGCCTCCCAAAGTGCTGGGATTACAGTCGTGAGCCACCATGTCCGGCTAATATCTTAAATTTAAAACAGTCTCACCAGGCACAATGGTATGCACCTGTAATCCCAGCTACTCGGGAGGCTGAGGCAGGAGGATCTTTTGAACCCAGAAGTTTGAAACCAGCTTGGGCAACATAGTGAGACCTCATCTAAAACAAACAAACAAACAAACAAACAAAAACCATATAGCAATCCAGCTTGAATTAATACCAACTTAGCTTCAATATCTATAAAGATTTTACCCCTATACATCTGCATCTTTTCCCATTATGTTGCTAATGTCACAAATTACATCTTTATACATTGTGTGCCCATTATCATAGGTTTACAATTATTGTTTTATGCATTTGTTTTTTAAATCCTATGGGCAAAAAAGAGGAGTTACAAACAAAAAATGCAATATTATGGGCTTTTATATTTACACATGTAGTTACCTTATTATTGTTCCTTATTTATTTATATGGCTTCAAGTTACTGTCTAGTGTCCTTTCATTTTGGGTTGATGGACTCTCTTCAGCATTTTTGTTAAGGCAAGTCTACTATTGATGAATTACTTCAGCTTTGATTTATCTGGAAGTGTCATAATTTTGCCTTCATTTTTGAAGGATAGTTTTGCCAGATATATAATTCTTGATTGGCAGGATTTTTTTTAAGCACTTTAAATACCGTTGTCTCTTTGTATCTTTTTGGGGATTCGCTCCAGGATCCCACAGCAGGTATCAACATTCACAGATGTTCAAGTGTCTTATATAAAATGGTGTGGGCTAGGCACAGTGGCTCATGCCTGTAATTCCAGCCTTTGGGATGCCAAAGCAGAAGGACTGCTTGAGCCCAGGAGTTTGAGACCAGGCTGGGCAACATAGTGAGATCTTGTCACTACAAAAAATAAAAATAAAAAAGACTGTAAAAAACAGTAATAATAGCTACTTGAGGGGCTGAAGCGATAGCTTGAGTCCAGGAGGTCAAGGCTTCAGTGAGCCATGATCACACCACTGCACTCCAGCCTGGGTGACAGAGCAAGACCCTATCTAAAAAAATACTGATAAAAATAACTGGGTGTGGCGCTCACACCTGTAATCCCAGCACTTTGGGAGGCCAATGTGGGTGGATCACTTGAGGTCAGGAATTTGAGACCAGTCTGGCCAACATGGTGAAACCCTGTCTCTACTAAAAACACAAAAATTAGGTGGGCACCATGGCTCCCGCCTATAATCCCAGCACCTTGGGAGGCCAAGGCAGGTGGATCACCTGAGGTCAGGAATTTGAGACCAGCCTGGCCATCATGCTGAAACCCCGTATCTACCAAAAATATAAAAATAAGCTGGGTGTGGTGGTGGGTGCCTGTAATCCCAGCTACTGGGGAGGTCAAGGCAGGAAAATTGCTTGAACCCGGGAGGTGGAGGTTGCAGTGAGCTGAGATCACACCACTGCACTCCAGCCTGGGTGACAGAGCGAGACTCTATCTAAAAAGGAAAACAACAACAACAACACACACAAAAAAACTAATAAAAATAAAAAATAAAATGTTATAGTATTTGCACATAACCTACGTACATCCTCCCACATACTTTAAGTCATCTCTAGATTACTTATAATTCCTAATACAATGTAAATGTTATGTAAATTGTTATACTGTATTGTCTAGGGAATCATGACAAGAAAGAGTCTGTACATGCTCAGTACAGACAAAACCATTTTTCTCCCAAATATTTTTGATTCGTGCTTGCTTGAATCCACAGATGCAGAGCCTATGGATATAAAGGGCCAACTTTATGTTATCTCCATGGTTTCTGGGGATAAATCTGTTTTTAGTCTTATTGAAGATCCATTGCACATAATAAACTGCTTCTCTCTTGCTGTTTTCAAGATTCTCTCTTTATCTTTGTGGGTTTTTTTTTTTTTTCCGAAGACTGTATTCTTTGTATTCACTGAAGGCTTCATTTTGTTATTTTAGTTGTTAGCCAGTGACCTAACATAGAATTCCTTAAATGCCTGCGACCAAAAAAAAAGTTTTGTTTTGTTTTTTAAAAAGGAAGAAGAAAGAAACAAATAAAAAAGAAACGAAAAGAATAAAGAAGAATATGAAAAAGAAAACAAAGGAAGGAAGGAAGGAAAAAAGAAAAAGAAAAACTTTTCCAGGTCTTTGCAGATTGGCTGTGTGGAGTCACTCCTAAGCTTAGCCAGGCAATTTACAGCTCTGTTTTAGCCTTCACTTCCTGCTTGTGCTGAGCCCAAAGACCAGACAGAGATGAAAGCTTATTGTCTTATTGGGCCTTTTCTGCACATGAGTCCTACCCTGGGTGTGCTTTCTACACTCTCTGGTTCACATGGGAACTTTTTGAAGCCCTTATTCTCCCAAAAATATCACTTCCAAACTTTTCCCAGTCTTTCAGGGTGTCAATTGTTTGCCTCAACTGTTATTTTTGCTTCAGGCAGCAGTGCCTTGTTCTTTTGTTCTTCAACAGTTTCCAGGGAACATCCTCTGTGTAGCTGCTCTGCCTTGAGAGAGTTCTGAGACAGGTGAAGCAAAGAGATTTCCCTTTCATCAGTTCTTGGGGGGAAACTCCAGAAAATCAAAAAAGATAAACACGATTCATTGGGAACAAGATCTTCTCTGCTCCCTTCCTAACCAGGAACCCCCACCAGAAATTTGGGCTACTGTCTTCAAGATTAGCCCTGTGCTGGGGAGGGGTTGAAGCGAGGGTAAGTTAAAACACCACAGAGATCTCCTACGATGTTTAAATTGCCTCTCCTGGTTAAGCATTTGTTGCTGTAAACCTCTATCTTTCAGAGTTAAAATAAGGTTGTTTCTGGCAATTTTTGCTAGGTATTTCTGGGGATGGATGGACTCCTGGAGTTCCCTACTCTGTGATTTTCACTGATGTCATCTTCTTTTGCCCATTTTAAAATTGGGTTATTTGTCTTTCTATTATTGAGTTGTAAGAGCTCTTTATATATTCTGGGTACAAGTCACTTGTCAGGTACACAATTTAAATTTTTTACCGTGAGAATCTATTACTTCTTTTTTAAAAATTTGTTTGTATTTTTGAGACAGACTCTCACTTTATTGCCCAGGCTGGAGGGCAGGCAGTGGTGTGATCTTGGCTCACTGAAACCTCTGCTCTCTGGGTTCAAGCAATTCTCCTGCCTCAGCCTCTCTAGTAGCTGGGATTACAGGTGTGTGCTACTACATCTGGCTAATTTTTGTGTTTTTAGTAGAGACAAGGTTTCACTATGTCAGCCAGGCTGGTCTCGAACTCCTGACCTCAAGTGATCTGCCAGCCTCGGCCTCCCAAAGTGCTGGGATTATAGGTGTGAGCCACCATGCCCATGGAGAATGTATTACTTTTGTAACTCAAAAAGTAATACTAATAAAATAGAGATCTGTATGATGTTTCAAATCTGTCTGGTAATGCACAAAAGTTTCTGGAAATAGTTGCCCTTTCCATCAGAGTGTAACTCTGTCCAGTTTCTTTCCCCATCCACCAGTGGACATCGCCTTTCTTCCTCTCCCTCTTGCAGAGACTGCCCCCTGCTGCGGGTGTTGGCTGGTGAAGTTGTTGGTGAGGAGGCGGAGGGCTCTTTACCATGGATTGTCTCACAGCTTTTGGGAGGAAACAACTACAGTGGCCTGCTTCTTCGCCTGGACCCCCAAGGTGGCCAGGGGGAAGAGTGTGGGGTTCTTTGGGAAGCTCTGAGATCTGTCCTTAGGCCTGCCTCACCCATCACCCAACCAACCTCAGCCCCAACTCCAGCCCAGAGAGAGAGCCTGACTCTCCAAGAGGGCCCCAGAATGCCTAGACTGACAGAGACTGGAGAGGCAAAGCAAGGTCAACAGTGAAAGTAACCCCTCACCCTTCAGAGGCCTTAAACCACTTACCAAGCATTTTTGCACAAATGCCTTTGATTCTTACCAAAACCCCATGAGGCAGATATAATTTACAAATAAGGAAAGAGAGGCAGGCCTAATTTATAGATGAAGAGAGGGAGATAAGAGAAGAGAAGGGAGTCTCTTATTTTCATACACCCGTTAAAAATCAAGCCTCAGCTGAGTGCGGCGGCTCATGCCTGCAATCCCAGTATTTTGGGAGGCTGACATGGGCAGATCACCTGAGGTCAGGAGTTCGTTGGCCAGGCCACTAGCCTGGCCAACATGGTGAAACTCCATCTCTACTAAATATACAAAAATTAGCTGGGCATGGTGGCGGGCGCCTGTAGTCCCAGCTACTTGGGAGGCTGAGGCAGAAGAGCTGCTTGAACCTGGGAGGCAGAGGTTGCAGTGAGCCAAGATCGTGCTACTGCACTCTAGCCTGGGCGATAGAGCGGGACTCCATCTCAAAAAAAAAAAAAAAAAAAAAAAAAAACCCTCTGTGTCCTTAATGTAGATGCTGGCAGAAAAAAAGAAAAAAAATCAAGCCTCTGAAATGTTATGATGTCAGGGATTTGGGGAAGGTCGAGGTGGGGGTATTGATCAAACAGAAATGGCATGAGTTTATAACTGTCAAAGCTAGGTGACAGGTACACAGGATTTCCTATACTTTGTGTATGTTTGAAATTTTCCATAATAAAAGAGTAAAAAATGTCTGGCCCTCGTCTCCAAAATCAACAAACACACATTCATTTGGCTAGCAAGTTCCCAGACCTCCCCTGTGCAAGGTCCCTTGGAATGAGGAAGATAAGTTAGAGCAGTTCACACCCACAAGGATAAAGCAGTGAGGGCCAGACGTGTTTACCTTCAGGCCAGTTTGGTATCATGATGAAGGGCATGGGCTTGAGTTTTGGCTCTGCCACTTGCCAAGAAGTTGCTTGACCTCTTTGAGCTTCTATTGCCTCATCTGGAAAATGTCGGGGGAGGCAGGATAGATTAGAGCTTCTGCCTGATTGGAGTGTTGTGTGGATAAAAAGAGGCAATCCATGAACAGCCTTAGTGAAGTGTCATCAAGCACATGTAAAAGCCTAGAGGGGGTTAGATATTTTTATGAATAGTACTACTAACAAAAAGTAAAAGTATTACAGGCCGCGTGCTTTGGAGTCCACAGGAAGGAGTAATTCACTTGGAGTGTCCCTTTACTAGGTAGCTCCCTCAGTTTGCTCCAGGCTGCTCTGTTGGGGGCCTCAAGAAGGAGGATGCAGGTGAAACAGGTGAGGCCCACCCTGTGGGATGCAGTAGAAGAGGCTCGGGCCCGCCGGGCTGGCCTGAGGCCCCTGCGTTTAGGCCTCCTTGAGGACACCCTGACATACAGTGGGCTAAGCCAGCTGGGAAGAGCACTGCAGGAGTTAGAGGTGAGCAAGGTGAAGCCGGAGGGCATCTGGGCCAGCCATGGCCAGTATCCACCTTGAACCCTTTCTCCATAGGTGGTAAAAGCGTGGAGCCAGCACCCAAGAAGAAAGATGCTCCAAGGAGCCAGAACTGAGGCGATGAGGCTTCCAGAGCCACAGGTATGTCTTCGCATTCACCCTTTTGGGAGCCACATTTGTGTCTGCCTTCTTGTCTTCTTTCCAAAGCACTTTGAGGAAGACCTCCATTCACTCATTGACTTATTGATTCCCAAACACTTACTGACCACCCACTGTGTGCTGGGCCCAGTGCCACATAGGCCCTGGGAATTCCCTGCCCTCATGGAGTTTATAATCTCCTGGGAAGAAACAATTACACCACCATCATCGGTGCTCTGAAAGGCTTATAAACAGAGTTCTGTGGGGCATCTAAATTAGCCTTGGCAAGAGAGGGATGGAAGACTTCATGGAGGAAGTGATTCCTGAAGGAGGTCAACAAAGATGAGTGAACAACCTGAAGGCAGAGAGAATGACAGGCAAAGACTCAGAGGCAAGAAAGTGCTTGGTCCCCTTGAGGTAGTGCAAGCAGCTCAATTTGTTGGAGAATAGAACTTGAGGGAGAGTCAGGAGAGAAGGACTGGAGAGGACAGCAGGGGCCAGGTCACACAGGGCTTTGTAAAACAGAGATGTTTGGATTTTGTCTTAAAGGTCACAGGTGAGCCACAGAAGTATTTTAAGCAGGAAAGAATACTGTGTCCTTTTCAGGTGAGCAAACTGAGGCTTAAAGAAAAGATGTGAGGCTGAGCATGGTGGCTCATGCCTATAATCCCAGCACTTTGGGAGGCCGAGGTGGGTGGATCACCTGAGGTCAGGAGTTCGAGACCAGCCTGGCCAACTTGGAGAAATCCTGTCTCTACTGAAAATACGAAAATTAGCCTGGTGTGGTGGTGCATGCCTGTAGTCTCAGCTACTTGGGAGTCTGAGGCAGGAGGATCACTTGAACCCACGAAGCAGAGGTTGCAGTGAGCCGAGATCATGCCATTGGACTCCAACCTGGGCATCAAGAGTGAAACTCCATCTCAAAAAAAAAAAAAAAAAAAAAAAAAAAGAAAGAAAGAAGGAAAGAAAGAAAAAAGAGAAAAGAAAAGAAAAGATGTGAGAGGGCTGGGAGCCCTCTCAAGGTGAAACCCCATCTCTACTCAAAAATACAAAAATTAGCCATGCATGGTGGCGCATGCTTGTAGTCCCAGTTACTCAGGAGGCTGAGGTGGGAGAGCCACCTGAACCCGGGAGGCGCAGGTTGAAGTGAGCTGAGATTGCACCACTGTACTCCACCCTGGGTGACACAGCGAGACTCTGTCATAAAAAAGAAAAAGAAAAGAAAAGATGTGAGACCTGTGAGCCTGGGGTCACAGGTGTAATCGGGAGCAGCAAAAGTATAATCACACTCAAGTCCTTAGACTCCTAATCTAGTGCTCTTTCATCTCCTTAGGCTGCATGGCCTTTCTGGTCTTCCATGATTTATCACAGGGTGGTTGAAATCCTGCCCCTGTCCAGCCTCTTCTGGCCTTTCTCGTCTTTTTTCATAATTGCTTACAACTTGTTTTTACAGCCTTGGGGCTTGGGAATCAGGCATGGTAGCTCCTATTTATTGAGCAAGAGGCTTACTGCTCAATGCTTTCGGTGCAGTACTTCACTTCATTCTCTCTACAACTTTTATCAGCTTGATTTGATAGAGAAGCACATGGAGACTAGGCCAGTCACCTGCTCGAGGTCATTCAGCTAAGAAGAGGAGGGGCTGGGACCCTGATCTGTCTGATTTCCAAGCCCTGATCTTAACCTACACTGTCCTGGGAGAAAAGGTGTGGAATGGTCACTTCTAATATCTTCTCAGCAGGTGATAGAGTCACCAGTAAGCCAGAGCCCATGCCTCGAGGGAGAGCCCCAAGGTGGGTCTGGGACTTGGGGATGAGCTGGGAGTGGGAGGTATTCTCTGCCTTTGGTGTGATTCATTACATTTTCCTCTAGTGGCAGGAAGAACGGCAACTCTAAGGTGTGGGCTCCACCAAAAGAATCCTCTCAGGCACCCTAAGGAACAGGTAATACCTCATGTACCCCAGGAATGACTGGAAGCCATAGGGGGAGTGAAGAGCTGCAGAGCCCAGCTAATGTGCCTCTGCTTACCCTGCCCCACTATCAAGGAGAAATGTGAAGTTTTTGACAAATAAAGGACCTGAGGGTGACTAGACCCCTAAGGGAGGGCCATGGGGAGGGACTGTTTTCCTACTTATTGGATTAAGGGTATAGGATCCTTAGGGGCACTATGGCACCTCTTGGCAGAGCCACTACCTTCCTCTTCCCACCATGGCCTCCTGAGTCTCTGCCCATGCTACAAGCTCTTCCAGGCCAGTTAGGTCCTGGATGTTATTCTGGCAGCAGCCCTGGTGATGAGGTATTGGAAAAGTTGGGCTCTGGTCCTAAATCTGCGCACACACATGGACTTCTGACTGAGCCCAGCAGGTACCAGATGTGGCCCTGCAGTTCTTCTTGGCCCAGGCCCGGAGGCAGAGACTGAGGGAGCAGCACCAAATTTGGATTCGAGAGAAGCTGAAGCATTTGGAACAGAAGGAGGAGGTGGCAGATGACCAGATCAAAGACCTGGTGACTGAAGAGGAGGTAAGGAGAGTCAAATAGAGGACTTGAGGCTCTAATTGGTCCAGGTACTGTGCTAGGGCTGGGATCCATCATCAGTCACAACCGACTGGTTCATACTCTCTCTCATGGCCCTCACAGACTTGTCAGGGATAGATGAGGCAATTCTCAGTGCTAAGTGATGGGTCTGGGGAGTTAGGGGCATGTGGGACCAAAAAGGCATATCTGATCCAGGCTGGAGTGGATCAGAGGAGGTGGCATCTAAGTTGAGCCTTAAAGGGCAGGCAGAAATCAGCCAGGGGAATTCACTGGACACTGAGCTTCACAAGGGCAGTTACTGCTCATCACATCAAGGCACTCATAGATACAACTTATTTGAACAAATTAAGAAACATAACGTGTATGTGGTGGGGGTGGTTGGAGTGGTGACATGTTCTCAGAGAAGACAAGACAGAGCAAAGGTTCAGAGGGAAGCAATGGCAAAGTGGGTCCTGTAAACTGCAAATTCTCCAATCTGGCTGGAGCTGAACACGTGCGTAGTCAGAAGCAAGGCTAAAGAGACAAGTGTGTGCCACAGCTCTGGCTTTGGATTTTACCCCAAGGAGAGTTGCAAACCATTGAAAGGCATGTGCCATGTCAGCTCTGACCTTCACTAGCCATGAGAATTTGGGCAAGTTAGGTCACTTCTCTGATTCACTGTTGTCAAATCTGTAAGACGACAATGCCACATATGGTTGTTATTGGATAAAATAATACACTTGAAGTATTTAGCACAGAGCCTGGCACACAGGTGGCGCTCAACAAAGAGTATGTGTTATCACTGAAGGCCTGCAAGGAGAGGCAGAGATGGCAGCAGGAACAGATGGTGCTGAGATTCCAGCTGGAGGCCCTTCAGGAAGAGCGGGACACGGCAGAGCAGGACCTGGCAGCCCTCTATGACCTGCATGTGCAGGCCACTCGAGCTCAGACACACCATGTGCTGCGGGTTAGTGGGGATGGAGGGCAGGCCTTGAGCTGGCTCCAAGGCTGGCTGAGTGACAGGTATCTCTGAATCTGGGTACAGGTATTCCGAGCCTGGCAGGGCCAGTGGGAGGAACGGGCCATGACCACAGAGCATCGTCACTGCAGCCTGCTGGCGGGCATCCTGGAAGAAGCCATCAACCTGGCCACACAGAATCAGGAGCTCCTAGCTCAGAACCAGCAACTTCGGCAGGGTGCAGACTAGGCTGGGGGCAGTCATGCTGGACCGTCCTGGGGAGAAACCTGATCAGGAACCCTTTAGAGGAAGTTTCCTGTCTCCTCATTCTGGAGGGTCCTAGAAGGGAGAGAAAGGTGAGATAAAACCAAGCTGATCCTCAACATGGATAATTAATAACACGAACCATGTCTCATTGTTCCAGTCCTTACTAAGTGCCTAATATTATTTTATTTAGCCTCTCCAGCTACCACATATAGTAGGTACCATTTGATCCTCATTTCAGGGGTAAGGCAACTAAAGCCAGAAGAGGTTCAATAACTGCCCAAGAACAGTCAGCTAAGTGGAAGAGCCAGAATTCAAATTCAAGTCTGTCCATAGTTCTACACTGCACAGTAGTGGCTTACAAGCTTCTGGGTGCATCAGAACCACCTAGGAAGCTTAAGAGAAAGAAGAAAAAGATTCCCAGACACTACTCCCTAAGATTCTGCTTTAATAGGTCTGAGATAAGCCTAGGTGCCCCCCATCCCCACCCACCTTTGCTTTTTTTAGAAACTCACCATATATTCTATCATAGAATCAGGGCCTGACATTCCCCTGGCCATGATTTTAAGACAGATGACAGGCAGGAATTGTCTGTGAGGGAACCAGAGGAAATGAAAACCAAAACCACATCGTATTTCTTAGAGTTTTTTGGCCTAGAGTCTAATTTGTCCTGCTGAGCCCCGAACCTGCTGTACCCAAGACTCCTTCTGCATTCCCCTGGGCCCAAGTTTTGTGCTCCAGGGAAATTTCAAAAGCTCTGTGACAGGGAAATGTCTCAGCTCCATGGAGCTCTCACAGGAAATAATGCCACTGGCAACAGCTTGGAGAAAACAATTTTTTCTTAGTCTAAAAGTTACCCCAGGCCAAGCGCAGTGGCTCACGCCTGTAATCCCAGCACTTTGGGAGGCTGAGGCGGGCGGATCACAAGGTCAGGAGATCGAGACCATCCTGGCTAACACGGTGAAACCCCGTCTCTACTAAAAATATAAAAAAATCAGACAGGCGCAGTGGTGGGCGCCTGTAGTCCCAGCCACTCAGGAGGCTGAGGCAGGAGAATAGCGTGAACCCGGGAGGTGGAGTTTGCAGTGAGCAGAGATCGCACCACTGCAGTCTGGCCTGTGAACGAGTGAGACTTCCGTCTCAAAAAATAAATAAATAAATAAAATAAAAGTTACCCCAGAATTAAAATACTCAGGACCCCAGAAGAACAAAATTGTTAGACAGAAGACACAAGACAATCGTGGCTGTGGTTGTAGGAACCACCCTACAGCCTAGAAAACTTTATTAAGACTTTATTGCTTATGCGGTTAAAGAGACACTGATTGAGCTACAGGTTTCCTGTACCTGGTCTCAGGTCACTCTGTGCAGAGCTTCCCCAGGCTGTTGGGAGCTGGGAGACTGCTAGGCAGGGGCAGGACCCAGAGTGGGAAGCATGGTACCTCCCAGGAGCCTCAGAGTGGGTAGCAGGCTTCAAGACAGCCCTCAGAGTGAACAGAGAGGTCAGGGGTGTTGGCTTAAGCCAGGGCCCAGGGGCTACATTCCCTGAGATGAGTCAAGCCCAGCCCTCTCTGGGGTTTCCAGAACAAAGGCTAGGTGTGGGGAGCAGCACTGTGGAAAGGGCAGGGAGCATGTCTCTAGGCATTGCTGGAACTGGGGGAAATTGTCAAAGTGGCTGGGGTAATGGTTGTATAATCTGTGGCAACAGGGCCTTCTTGCATGAAAGTAGGTATCTCTTATGGAAGAGTCATGCACCATGGGTGGGCTGGAGCGGCCAGCTCCAGTGGCTACTGTAGGCAGTAGCCACTGTTGGGTGACTAAAGTAGGCAAGGAAAGTCACTTGTTGCCCACACCCCACTTTCATCAACTCTGTTCATGCAGGACAAGGCAGGGAGTTGCCCATCAAGGATGGGGTCACTTCTCAGGCCTAGGTATTGATGTTACCATAATTCTTTAGTCTGGAAGAACTTGGTTGGGGTGGGGGATGGTAAGCATTTCCTTAACCAAACTCACTCTTCACATCTCCTAGGGGTACCCCTTCATCCACTGATCTCCAGAGAATAACCTGGCTGCTCTCACTTCTCCAGCTTTTCTCACAAGGCACTTGTTACAGGGCTGCTGATGGGAGGGGGAGGAAGGCTGGGAGAGGGGTCTGGTGGAGGCGCCCAATCTACAGGGTCCGGAATCAGGGTGGAAGTTGTCAGGGACTAGCGGCTACCATAGTACAGGCGCACGGCCAGGCCAATGAGTAATGTGGCCAGGAAGAAGGCGGCTGTGAGCTGCAGCCGTAGCAGGACTGCTGAGAGCACGGCGTTGACCACCAGTGAGCAGGACACCACAAAGAGGCGTGTGATGCTGCTGCCGTGCTTCATGACAGCGGACATGAGCAGTCCATTTAGTGCCTGGCTCAGCACCACGAGTGCTGCCCATCCTGAGAAACCTTCTAGAAGGCCTGGGCCGGGGCCGCCGCCAGCATGCAGACCTAGATTCAGGAGCACACCAAAAGTGTAGAGGAAGAGGTTCTGAAGTGCCAGGGGCAGCCGCTGTCGCTTCATGAGCAGCTCTGTGTACACTGAAGACAAGCCTGAGATGAGGCAGTACAGGATGAGGAGCAGGAGGCCCAGCGGAGTGATATGCAGGGGCATGGGGCTTGCAGCAGCTGCTGGAGAGGGACTGGGAACGGTGTTCCCAGGAACTTGAAGGCCGCCTGCTGCACAGCAGGCCCCCGCAGCCATCAGCAGCAGCAGCGCTAACACCTGACGCACAGAGAGGCGGTGCCGGAGGCAGAGGCAGTAGAGCACAGCCGTGCTTCCAATCTTGAGATTGCTCAGCACTTGGTAGGTGCTGGGGTCCATGTAACGCTGAAGATAGATCACTAGGTTGTTGTTAGCGCCATACAGCAAGGCTGATACTGCGAAGGGAGCAGCCTGGCGCCAGGGTGGGGCCCCCTGGGGCCATGCTTGCCAGCCTACCAGAAGGGAGAAGGCGCATAACAGTAGCTTGGTCAGCTCAGTCAGCAGCACGGCTGAGGAGGGTCGGAAGGGCACTCGGCCGTCCACATGGCACAGTGCCAGCAATGGGGCGTGGGCACCATACATGGCAGTGGATAGGAGTAGCATCAGGGTCCAGCGGGCCTGCCTGGGATGGCCCAGGCCCGGCATACCCCCATCCTCTACACTCATACCCACACCAGACCCTGGGTGACTAAGGGGCAGCAGGGATTGCAACACGTTTGGGGAAAATCAAGTTACGGAGCCAGCTACCAGGAAGGAGGAGCTGTGGAACATTGCCAGAGAGAATACTGAGGATCAGAGGCATCTACCAACCCCACAGTCGGGGCTTGAAGAATAAGGGGCTGGTAGTCCTTGAAGTCACAATCTTGGGGCCAGTCCCATGGAGTTAGGAAGGGGAAGAAGGAATCCAGGGTGCAGGCTGAGGAACTACTGTTCACAATCTGCAGGAAGGGAGGCAAGGATGAAGGTGGCAGGAAAGTTGGAGATAGCAAATGGATGACAGCTGGGGAATTCAGATAAAGTGTCTCCACCTGAAGGCTGAGCTGCTCATCCTGCCTCTTCCATGGCACCTAGAGCTAGTCCGGCCCCTTGCGTAGCGACTGCAAATAGTCCCTTAATGTCTTCTCCACGTTGGGTACAGCATATGCCTGAGCCGCATAGATACCAGTGCAGGTGCCCACAGCAAAGCCCAATACTGCTGATGCCCTCAGTTTGGCCACCACATAGCCAGCCAGGAATCCCTTGAGGAACGGAGAAGACAACAGCGAGCCATCCTGCAGAGAAAAATGCAGAACGAAACTTAGCTAGGCTCTTCCCTGACTCTGTCCAGGGGCTACTCAAGCTGTGATTAGAGCATTCCACCACCAACTCCTCCTCACCCTGGACAACTGTGGTATTTTCTCCAGATTTTTCCCAAGGTTCTGGGGCCAGAAAAAGAACCTAGCAGTTCTGATCACACAATCTCAGAACCCTGGGGTCAGAAAGCTCCAACCATAGAACTCCACTGCCACACAAGGTCAGAGATGCTCCTAGCCCTGCAGGTTTCTCCAGCTTCATTTCCTAGCATGCTCCCCAACTACTGTAGCCAAATGGACCTCCTTTCACCCCTCATGTTTATAATGCTACTTCCTATCACAAGGCTTTTACATATGCTGTTCTATCTGCCTGGAATGTTCTTTCCTTCCCTCTTCACCTACTTAACCTCTACTTAAGGTATTAGTTCATGTGCCATTCAGAAAAATTGTCCTTAGGATGCCTGAGAACAGGCCCTCAATAATCATTTGCTGAATAAATCTCTACCATTCATTTAACACTCTCAAGAGCATGTTGGACAATAAAGCCTAAGGCAGGGGTGGGGTGGGACAGTCCTTACCTGGCCCACTCCACTGTTGACTTCGTCTTCCACACGCCGCTGCAGGCGTTCCAGCTGGTTCTTGAGAAATGCCAGGTCCTTAAGCTTAGGCAGAGAATCCTAGGACAAGCGAGACTCCAGCAGTCTGACTCAGCCCCACCCCTTGCTCAATTCCATCAGAAGCTGGGAATTGGGAGGGGATGGGGTGAGCCAGAAAGACCTTTTCCTATAAAAGCTTCCTGAGATGGCAGTGGCAATGGAAGAAAAGCATTGAAAAGCACAGAATTCAAATGAGGGCCAGGAAGGGACTGACAGATGGAATCTGAACCAGTAACTTACATCAACCTCAACAAGAATTTTACATAGCAAGCAGTATGTAGGAAAGGCAGGAGGGACAGCTAGGGACCGGTCCATCAGGAAAGCACTACTGACTCCATTATGAGCTCGAAAGTCGTGACCAGTCTGTCTTGGCTACTATGTTCTAGTGCCTGACATTTAGTAAATGTGTGGGTAATGCTGAGCTTATAGACCAATGGTGAGTAATGGACGGAGGCAGTTTCCTGGACAATTTGATTGTCTTGGTTCCTGGATGGGCTTTACCTCTTTCTTCCCAAGGCCATCCCAAACTGAATATGAGTGACTGGATGTGAGTGAGAATGACAAAAAAGACTGTCGGCAAGTGCGTAAGTAAATGGACTGAGTGATTTTGATCTCATGTAAGTATGAAATTCAGAGTGTATGCAAGGGAGTGTTTGAATGAGGGTGGTGTGAGTGTCCGTGTAATTGGAAACATCGTGTCACTGGGAAGAAAATTTCGGGAAGTAGGGAATAGGGTAAAGTGAGGAGTGTTTAAGGGTGAATGTTTTTGAGTCTGTGCTAGTAAGTGGGGTTCGTGATGGTTCCCAGGAGGGTACATCTGGGGGATCCACGGCTCCTCCCACCTCGCCGAATGCTCTCCCCACACCACTCCACACTGTTGAGGCAGCTCACAGCAGCCTCAGAAGAAACAAGGGACATCCTCACTCCTGAGCCGCTCCAGAGTCGCTTCTCCCCGGAACTAAAAAGGTCAAGGAGAAGACCACGCCCGGCTGCAGATCACCCACGGCCACTCACCTTGTCATCCGCCATCTTCCCAGCCGAACTTGTTGCGCAGGCGCATCCCCGCCTCCCTCATGCCGACTGCCCCGGCCATCTTTACTGAGGGCGAAGGCACTTCCGGAGCATTTTTGGAACGGGTGAGGCGCTTTCCTAGTGGCCGAGCCCGCCTCTCCCAGATACTTCCACGTGACCCCCTCCGGTCGAGTCTCAGGCTGAGTGTGAGCGCACTCACTACCCGGGAGCGATGATCTCACTCGTGCGCGAGTGCGCGCGGCGCATGTCCGGTGTGTCGGTCTTCGGGCGCCTGATGAGTTCATAGTCGTGCGGTGGTGTCAGCGGTTTCGGTGGCGTTCTTGGGTCACCCCCAGACCCACACACGGAAATACGCACCCATTCGGGGATCCAGACGACCGTTTACACGCACCACACCTGGGCGGGCTGTGAGGCTCAGGCCCTCCTCCGGGACCGGCCAGTGTCCCGCCCCGTGTCCCGCCCCGTATTTGTGCGGCGCCAGCTGGCCCGGCAGCCTGCGGCGCAGAGAGGCTGGGCTTGCAGGCGCAGTAGCTCCGGAGGTCGCGCTGGACTGAGAGTGCGGGCCGGCAGAAGCTGGCGGGGAGCGGCCGGGGTTATGCTGGGCAAGGATTACATGCTGGCCATCATTCTGGTCAACTGCGATGGTGTGCACGGAGGGGCCCGGTGGGAAGACCAGGAGCTTAGGGGGGACGAGGGAATCCGAAAGACTAGTCTGGGGCTCAAAGACAGGGTGGGGGATACCTCTCTGTGTAGGGACCAGGGGGCGAATGAACCCGATCTTTACATGTGATGTCTTCAAGATTGAGGAGCTTGGATCTTCAGCCTAAGAACTGACCCATTTTGGGGATGGAGAGAGGATTATGACAGCATGTTATTCTGAACTCACAAATAATATGCTCCCTCCTCTCTAATCCGGTGTTCCTGTAGATGACTTGTGGGGGGACCAGAGTCTGGAGGGGGAGCCTGGCTTGCCTCCTGGCTGGAGGAAGATCCACGATGCTGCAGGTACTTACTATTGGCATGTACCCAGCGGTAGCACCCAGTGGCAGCGCCCAGCCTGGGAACTAGGAGATGCGGAGGACCCAGGCACGGTAGGTGGAGTGTGAGGAGGAGGTCTGAGCCCGTGTGTGGACCCAGGTCTGCTGTTACACTGACTAACCCCCACTCTACAGGGAACGGAGGGGATTTGGGGACTGCGGCCCCTCAAAGGGAGATCCTTCTCCAGCCTGGAGAGCTCACTGGACCGGAGGTAACGAGTGGCCCAGGCAAAATGAAAGGCTTGGGGTTCCATGGTGTTCAAAAACGCAGCTGGACCCATGGTCTGCTTTCCACCCCAGGTTTTGGATTCTGTCACATGTTTTGGGTTCTGTTGTGTTCTTGGCTCTGTCCCAAGTTCTTAACTGTCAGTATTTTGAGTTTTATCCCTTGTTCTAAACTCTTGTTTGTAGCTACATGTTTTTCATATTCTTGGTCCTAACTTATCATGTTCTAGACCCTGGCCATTAGGTCCTCTGTTCTAGGATCTCTTGTCCCACTTTGGGGTTCTGGTCCACATATTGAACCCTGCTCCATTTTGTGACTTCTATTTTTTTATTTTTTGAGATGGAGTCTCACTCTGTCGCCCAGGTTGGAGTGCAGTGGTGCGATCTTGGCTCACTGCAACCTCCGCTTCCCAGGTTCAAGTGATTCTCCTCCCTTAGCCTCCTGAGTAGCTGAAACTACAGGCACATGCCACCATGCCCAGCTAATTTTTGTATTTTTAGTAGAGATGGGGTTTCACCATGTTGGCCAGGATGGTCTCGATATCCTGACCTCGTGATCCACCCATCTCAGCCTCCCAAAGTGCTGGGGTTACAGGCGTGAGCCACTGCACCCAGCCTTGTGACTTTTATTCTATGTCCTGTGTCTGGGTTGTGTCCTGAATTTTCCCTCAAATTCTAAGTCACACTTTATGTTATGTTAATATGTCCTGGGCTCTACCCTGCTCTGTTTTTATATTTCTGGTGCTATATTCTGGGTCTTGTTCCTCATCCTGTGCTTATCAATTAGTCTAGGCCTCACCAGTGTCCCTACTGTAGGAAATGTGGTCCTCTTAACACCTCTGCTCTGTTTCAGTAACTCTCTGTCCTGGTGTGGTGAGGAATCCTACATCCAGAACATGGAGCCAGGGGCTAAGGTAGTGACTTGGACCTGAGGGCATTGGGAGGTCCCAAGGGAAAGACAAGGGTGGGATTGGACTGAGCAGAGGTGATCAAGGGTGAAGATAAGGAGTTTGTATTGTGGCACCTGCCACCCTGCTCCATCCTTATTCATTCCTGTCCCTTTCCCCAACTTGTCAGTGCTTTGCAGTACGCTCTCTGGGCTGGGTAGAGGTACCTGAAGAGGACCTGGCACCGGGGAAGAGCAGTATTGCAGTCAATAACTGCATCCAGCAGCTGGCCCAGACCCGCAGCCGGAGCCAGCCTCTAGATGGTGCCTGGGGTGAGGTGAGTTGGCTCGGCCCCTCAATGGGTTGGGCCCAGGGCCCAGCAGAGGTAGCTATCCCTGAATTGCCTATTTCTCATGGCAGTGACCTTTATCTGAGCTCTGAGCTGACCTCTGTCCTTGGCAGGGCCAGAACATGCTGATGATCCTGAAGAAGGATGCCATGAGCCTAGTGAATCCCCTGGACCACAGTCTGATCCACTGCCAGCCTCTGGTGCACATCCGTGTGTGGGGCGTGGGGAGCTCCAAGGGCCGGTGAGGATGCCTACATCCCCCAAGCGAGAGCTCGTCTCCCTCCCTGCTGCAAGCTGTGATCCCCACTGATGCTGATCACCAGTACTTGAACCCTGGACACAGATCCTCTGATGTGGACCCAGGACTGCTTCCCCTGCCTGGTCCAGCCCTGGTTGGGGAGGGTGGGCCCAGCTCAGCAGGGACAAATGGGGGAGAGTCCAAGAGGCTGGGCTGATTCCCTTCTGTGCTCCCACATGCTTCCGGAACAGTGACAGGTGAGTGAAAACCAGGTATCCTGAGCCCCATTCCTGACCTTCCTACTCCATCCCTGCCATATCCCTAGCCTGACTTTCCAGCCTCCTGCAGGCTCCTGCCTCTAACCAGCCTCTACCCCAGCCCCATCTCTGCCCCTGCTAGGGACTTCGCTTTTGTGGCAAGTGACAAAGATAGCTGTATGCTCAAGTGCCATGTGTTTCGCTGTGATGTCCCTGCCAAGGTCATTGCCAGTGCCCTACATGGGCTTTGTGCCCAGGTAAGGGTCAGGGGTGGGGCAGGGAATGTGGGTAAGGGGTTGGGTCTGAAGCTTCCAAGGTAGTTGGGGTGGTATTGGCCCTTTTACCCTAATTCCCCTCTCTCCCTGTGGCTCATGCTGGCTTCATTGTGTTTTAGATCTTGTCAGAGCGAGTAGGGGTCAGTGTTGATGCCTCTTGCTGCTCTCCAGACCCCATCTCCCCTGAAGACCTGCCACGGCAAGGTATGGGAAGGGGAGTGCCGCATTGCTGCATTGGGCTGCTTTGGTGCCGCTTTGTGGGTGGGCAATTTCTGGTTATTTAGTACTTCTGTGGATAAATTTCTGAGGGTCTGGTCTCAGGGATCCCAAGCCACGAGTTGGAGGAGCATCTATGAGCCTTTTCTTCTATCAGCACCAGCTCTGACCTGAGTCCTGGCCATTCAGAAGGGTGGGGAAAATGGTAATTGAGAGAGCTGCTAGGCCGACTTGGTGTGTATATTTCAGTCGAGCTGCTGGATGCAGTAAGCCAAGCTGCTCAGAAGTATGAAGCACTGTACATGGGGACACTGCCAGTCACCAAAGCCATGGGTGAGGACTGAGGGGGCTGCATATGGTGGGCTGTGTGAGGCAAGGGGAAGGTGAGTGAGGTGGGGCCCACTACCATTTCTCAGAGTCCTCCCATGGCCTTGTTATGGCGCCTGGGATCTACCAGCCTTCCCAACTCAGAATTCTAAGCCTTGCCCCAACTATCCTATTCCCTATCTCTGAATCCCAAGTCAGTGAGAGGGGGCTAGACACTCCCTGCAGACTCTTTCTTTTACAACTGGGAGACACGCTGGGCATGTTCCCCCAGGCATGGATGTGCTGAACGAGGCCATTGGTACCCTCACCACCAGGGGGGACCGGAATGCCTGGGTCCCAACCATGCTCAGTGTGTCTGACTCTCTCATGACTGCACACCCCATTCAGGTATCAGAAGAGGGTGAAGTTGGGGGCTTTGGAGGGGTGAGCAGGGATGCTGAGGGGTCACTGCTTGCTGCTGGAAAAGTTCAGTGGGTCTGGCCAGTGCTTGGCCCCCTAGTGACTAGGCCTGGTGTGGGCAGGCAGAGGCCAGTACAGAGGAGGAGCCATTGTGGCAGTGCCCTGTGCGCCTTGTGACATTTATTGGTGTTGGCCGCGACCCACACACCTTTGGCCTCATCGCTGACCTGGGCCGTCAGAGCTTCCAGTGCGCAGCCTTCTGGTGCCAGCCCCATGCAGGGGGACTCTCCGAAGCTGTGCAGGCTGCCTGTATGGTGAGTCATGGGTGGGAATGGGTGGGTGGGATTGCCCTGCAGCTGCTCTCCGCTGTTTACTGGGGCTCAGGGTCGGCAGCCTCTTTAGAGATCACAAACCTGGGCTGATTCTGCATCATTAATGTTTTGGCCCTCATGATGTTTTTAGTAAGTTTTAATTAGTTGCCAATACTTAAAGGCCAGGACATTTCACATAATAATCGCTATTCTTGTTTTTCTTAAAATATCAAGAGCTCTGGCACTCAGTTCACACGTGTAAATGTCAACATGCAGCCAGAGTTGTGCAGAAGCTGTGCCCTAAAGAGTTGGCATTGTTCCTGTTTGTCCCATTTAGGTTTATTTCCTGGCATCTGTGGGCATTTGACTGTGGGTTGCTTACACTTTGTTAGTTCAGTTTGCTCATTCATTCAACAAATATGAGTGCCTACAGGGTCCCAGGCACCATAGTTGACCCTGAGAATTTAGTGTTATAGAGGGCACAGCCCTTGCCTTCGCAAAACACTTAGGATAGTGCCAAGATAGACCAGAAATAAGTTGTACACCGCTGGTTAATGGAAGAGGTGGCCCCTTTAGGGGTCAGGAAGGCTACCTGTAAGAGGTGATAGAAAACTGACAGTCCAAGAGGGAAGTTAGCCAGGTGAAGGGGAGTGGGCAGGTGTACCAAGCACAGGGAACCTTAGCTGTGAAGGTGAGAGATATTAGTGGATGAGAGTATCTGAAAGAATCTAGTGTATCTGGCATGCAAGGGGGATGTAGTAAGAGATGAGATCAGAGAGAATGACAGAAGCCAGGTTATGGGGGACCTCATAGGTCAGGGTGATGAGTTTATCTGGAGGCACTAGGAATCACTGAAGCCCCACAGTGAAGTCAGGGTTATGTATTAGGATGATCACTTAAGCTATAGTATGGGTAAAGATTTGGAGGACATGAGAGGAGGTAGGAAGGCCAATTAGGATGCCTTTGAGCCATTCAGATGAGATGACTGGGAGGAGTTGCATTGGGGCTGGAGTTTGAGTTGTACACCCTTACCCTCAACTAGGGAATCTGCTTTGCAGGGACTAGTCCCCACCAGTGAGAGATGGAAAAGAGCCAACATAGTGGTACATGTAATGAAGAGTTCAGGCTCTGCAATCAGAGAACTAGGTTTGAATGCCATTTCTGCCTTTCTCTGGCTCTGTGACCTTGGGCAAGTCATATACTCTCTGAATCTCAATTTCCTCATTTGCAAAACAGGGATAATAACCCCTCATAAATAACTGAATTATACAAAGCACTTAGCAGTGTCCAGCTCGCCCTCCTTAAGTGTCTGATACAGTTTTATGATTTTGTTATTGAGCTACCTGGGAATGCTCTAGAAACTCCACATGTGGCCGACTACCAACCTTGTTATCAGACAGAAGCTTTGGCCAGTTCCCTGTCCAGCAGAAGCTTTCAGGGAGTCTAGGGGCAGAAAGTAGCTGGATCCTCACATTCCCCTTCTCCCTAGGTTCAGTACCAGAAGTGTCTTGTGGCCTCTGCAGCTCGAGGCAAGGCCTGGGGTGCCCAGGCCCGTGCCCGCCTGCGGCTCAAGCGGACCAGCTCCATGGATTCCCCAGGAGGTCCCCTGCCCCTCCCCCTGCTCAAAGGAGGGGTTGGCGGTGCAGGGGCAACCCCTCGAAAGCGGGGTGTCTTCTCTTTTCTTGATGCCTTCCGGCTGAAACCCTCTCTGCTCCACATGCCCTAAACTTATCTGGGAAGGCTGGGGAAGGAGGCTCTGGGTCCATGCCTAACTCTGTACCCTTTTATTCCTCAAGGCCTATAGCCTGTCACCCCTTGAAGCCTTCTCTGCCTGTCCCTCTGATCCTTGTCCACTGTCTGTTTATTGCCCAATTTATTGTTTATATGGATGACTGGAAGGCACTGCACCACAATGTAGGACCCTGACTTCCCTTTCCTTGGGTCCTTGTGTTCCTTGCCCCTGTCCAACCCTGGACAGTTGGCTCTACCTCAGTAACACTTTATAGCAAAATCAGTGCAAATAAAAATCCCTCAGTGACCTCACTGGATGTGAGTATATTGGGCCTGGGACAGGGCTGGGGGCTAACAGCCTGTGTGAGATGAGCGTCTTTGTGTCTGTGCTTGATGTTGGTGGCTCTCTGTAGTCACATGACAGCATGGGTGTGATGGAGATCTGACTTCATTCATTCAACAAACATATTTTCTAAGGAGTTCCCTGTGCCACGCACTAAGCTGGGCACTGGGGATGTAATAAAATAGGCAAGGTCCCACCTTCTGAGACTGTCAGGGAAATGAACAAGAGTCAAATAAGACAGAAGATGTGATGTAATATAATTAGGAAATCTTAGAGGGTTGTAGGGTTGTGGGAGCTCAAGTAAGACACTTAACCTGGCCTGAGACATTCCAGAAGGCCTCCTGAAGAACTGACATCTGAGCTGAGAACTGAAGGAAGATGAGTACTAGTTAGTGAGGCTACCTGAGGTGAATGTGGAGATTGTGCAGGGCAATGCAAGAGGAGGCTGTAGAAGTCAACCTGGCTAGATCGCAGCGGGGCGTATGTGGGGCAGGAGCTTCTGGTTGTTCGAACTTGCTCCTGAGAGGATGAGGGCTCCTAGGGCGCTGGCTCCTGGACAACAACCTCCTTTGGTGCCTTGTGACCGGGCCCTGATGGTTCATTAGATGGAGCCTTCGAGTCTTAGGGAGTTGCCGCAGGGTCCCCACAGCAGCTCCCGACGGCTGTGAACGAGCATCCATCCTCCAGGGTTCCCGGCAACCCGCCTGGCCTGGGACGCGGCTCAACTGTGAGCGGCCGTCCCGGAAATGACGCGCTGCCCCGCTGGCCAAGCGGAAGTGGAGATGGCTGAGCTGTACGTGAAGCCGGGTGAGCGCGGCCGACTGGCTAGGGCACTAGGTCCTCGCCCCGGCCTAGGCTGGGGGCGGTTGCGGCGCGGAGTCTGGACCCTCTGTCTCCCCCAGCCCCAATATGAACTATCAGTGGAGTTCCGGGCTCGCTTCACACATCCCTCGCCTCCGCAGGCAACAAGGAGCGCGGCTGGAACGACCCGCCGCAGTTCTCATACGGGCTGCAGACCCAGGCCAGCGGACACAGGCGCTCGCTGCTCACCAAGAGGGTCGCCGCACCCCAGGATGGATCCCCCAGAGGTGCGTGGGGCCCCTGTGCTCGGAGACCGACGGGGAATGGGGAGGGGGGTGTAAGAGATAAGCCTGTCTGGAAGGCTTTTTTCTCTTCCCCGAGGGCTCCTTATGGAGAGAGGTTATGGGGCTCCAGTAAAGGTCTCAGGGCAGGTGCTTTTCCGAGCCCCTTCTCTGCTGCTCAGGTTAATAAATGGTGTATTGATTTAAAAAGACTCTATTTTTTCATCCTAGGTGATCTCATCCAGACCCGTGGCTTTTAATATAGTTTTAATCCTCAAGTTATCTATCTTTGTTAACCTATACCTCTTCCCAGAACCTCATAGTGGCATATTCATTTGTCCATTCTGTCTTCACTTAGGTATATGATAATCATCAGACTTCACAGTTTTTCATTCATTTAATCACTATTATTTACTGAGCACTTACTATAAGTCAGGCACTGTTTAAGGGCCAACTAGACAGCAGTGAGAAAAAAGATCTCTGCTTTCAGGGAGTCCATGTTGCAGCGCTGGAGATGGGCTGAAAGATTAAATAGTGGTGAGGGTGCTACAGAAAAATAAGCGGTGATGTAATATGACTGGGTAACGAGGTGTCTGAGGGGCTGATATTTAAGCCACACAAAAAGCATTCCAAGCAAAAGAAACAGCTGCAAAAGGAATAAGTTTGGCCAATTCAGAGACTGATGAAATACAGAGTGACTGGCTACAGCCACTTTGTAAACCAGGATAGTGGGCTTTGTAAACCAGGATAAGGAGTTTGTATTTTAGTCTACATAAAGTTGGAAGCCATTGAAAAGTTTAAAGTAGAGGAGAGCCAACTTTCCCCCTGAGAATTTTCCAGGCCATTAAATGGGCTGTGCTGTGGCCTCCATAAAGGGGCTCAGGTTTGGTTCTTTCAGTGGCCCTCCATTCTCCACACCCTTTTTGCTGTAGAAGAAGAATGATACAAGGCTTGGTTTCTTAAACTCAGCAGTATTGATAGGTTGTGGCCAGATAATTCTTTGTGAGGGACTTTCCTGTGTGTTTATCAGCAACTCTGACTTCTATCCAATAGATGCCAGTAGCATCCACCCAGTTGTGATAGCCAAAAGTGTTTCCAGACATTTGCCCTGTGGGCACTATCTTCCTAGCTTGAGAACCAGGGACTGATTGACATTTTGAAAAGATCATGGTCTGCTGTGTGAAAACAAGATTTTAGGGGAGTGGAAAGACAAATTACAGCTATTATGGTAATATAGGCAAGATTTAATGATTTGCATAAGGGTACTAGGAGTTAGATGGATATGAGATGGAGAAGTTCAGTAGGAATGAGTAGATTAGGAGGAATCCATATAACTAAAATTTTTTGCTTGATATAGGAAGACTGGGGGATAGTGGTTTTGGGGAGGGGGAGTTTTTTTGGGGGGCCCATGTGAAATTTAGGCTGTTATTTTTCGGGAAAAGTCTAAGCCAGAATTAGAGAAATAAGTCACCATTACAAGGATGGTATTTGATGTTATGCACTTGAATGAGGCCAGGGACAGAGCCGTAGGACACTCTAGCATTTCAAGGTTGAGAAGGAATCATCAAAGGAGATTGGGAAGTGGCCAAAGAAGAAAATAGAAGAGGCCAGGCGCAGTGAGTCACGCCTGTAATCCCAGCACTTTGGGAGGCCAAGGCGGGCGGGCAGATCACCTGAGATAAGAAGTTCAAGACCAGCCTGGCCAACATGGCGAAACCCTGTCTCTACTAAAAATATAAAAATTAGCGGGGCCTGTAATACCAGCTACTTGGGAGGGTGAGGCAGGAGAAACGCTTGAACCTGGGAGGTGGAGGTTGTGGTCAGCCGACATCACGCCACTGCACTCCAGCCTGGGCGACAGAGCGAGATTCTGTGACAAAACCAAAACCAAAATAAAAAAATAGGAGAGTGTAAAGACATGAATCAGTAGTGATGAATGCTACTGAGACATCAAGATAGAGACAAGGGGCCAGGTGCAGTGGCTCACACCTGTAATCCCAGCACTTTGGAGGCTGAGGCAGGTGGATCACGAGGTCAGGAGTTCAAGACCAGCCTGGCCAACATGGTAAAACCCCCTCTCTACTAAAAATACAAAAAGTAGCCAGGTATAGTGGCGGGTACCTGTAATCCCAGCTACTCAGGAGGCTGAGGCAGGAGAATCATTTGAACCTGGGAGGTGGAGGCTGCAGTGAGCTGAGATCACACCATTGCACTCCAGCCTGGGACTCCATCTCAAAAAAAAAAAAAAAAAAAAAGAAAAAAAGGAACCACTAGATTTGACAAGCATAGCAGTCACTAGTGATCATAACAAAAGCAGCCTGCATTAGTGAGAACAGAAACTCAGCTGGAATGGGCTGAGGAGAGAATGTGAAAAGTAGGGAGAGTGACTATAAACAGTTCACTCAAATTCTGTGGAGATAAGAAATGAGACAGTATCTGAAAATGGAACGTGAAGGGAGTGTTTTGATAGTAATATACTAGAGCATGTTTGTACGCTAATGGGATGATTCAGTAGAGAGGGAGAACTGATGATGCAAGAGAAGATACTTACAGTAGGGAAGTCTAGAGAAGACAAGAGAGGCTAGGATGCAGAGTACAGCTGGAAAGATGGCTTTTGATAGGAGCAGGAACGTTTTCATCTATTACAAGAGGAAGAAAAGTGGCCACAGATGCAGGTGGGTTAGGAGGACTAGTGGTGGGAAGATGAGACAGTTCCCGTTTAATGACTTCTACTTTTCAATGAAACATCAGGCAGTGTCAGAAGAAGATAGCAGGGAAAGAAAGAGAAGTTCTGAAGAGTGGAAAAAATGAGCCAAAATGTCCGGGCAGTGTTTGGTACCTTTTAAAATCTGTGGCCATGAATTTAAAGTGTCAGCATGGCTCTATTTTCCCTCCCAAGTGCAAGCAAGTTGGGTTTAACCAGGAAAGTGGGACAATGGGAGGAGATAAAGGAGGTAAAAATATTTATAAGGGGGTGACCACGTTAATATACATGGAAATCAAAGTAGCTGAGCTGGAAGGGGTAAGGGGGTGATCAGATTTTGGAGGTGATAGTGTTGTGAACAAGGCAGGGGGATGAGAGGCTGATGTAGGGTGGGAAAAAATGATCACTGGAGGTGAAGAGGTCAACTGTAACGCCAAATTATTAAATGAATCAATCATCGTTGTGGATGTTGGTACCTAAAAGTAAACTTTTGACTTTTCCAGTCTTTCTGTTAGTGGTTCCCATTACTAAAGTCAGAAACTAAGAGTCACCTTGACTTCTCTCTTCCTCACTCCCAATCCACTCCTGTTGCTACTTCCTCTTAAGTAAATCTCAGACTACTCCATTCCCCTCATCTACTCTTTTACCCTAGTCCATGCCAGCATTATCTCTTTCCTGAACTATTCAACCTCTCAACTGGTGTTCCTGCCACCATTGTTGACCTGTTTTCATCAGTTTTTCACAGAGCATACATGTTTAAGAATAAGTCTGATCACATCACCCCTTGCTTTTATAAACCTGCAGTGGCTTCCCAGTACCATTGACTCAAGACCAAACTCTTCCAAAACCCCACAGGGTCTGGACCCTCTGCTTACCTCTCTAATGATAGCTCATACTACTTTCTTCAGTGATAATAGTTTTTAGCCCTACAGGCCTCATTTTTGTCTCTTGAACAAGTCAAAAGTTTTCCTGCTTCTTGGGCACTGCTCTCACCTCTACCTAGTACATGTTCTTTCAACTCTTCATAGCTGCATCTGTCTCATCCATTAGTTCTCAATTTAATAAAAACAGCTCAATTTGTACTTTTTGCTACACACTAGCAACTGTATTTTTTGTTGTTGTTGTTGAGACGGAGTTTCGCTCTGTCGCCCAGGCTGGAGTGCAGTGGCCGGATCTCAGCTCACTGCAAGCTCCGCCTCCTGGGTCTACGTCATTCTCCTGCCTCAGCCTCCCGAGTAGCTGGGACTACAGGCGCCCACCACCTCGCCCGGCTAGTTTTTTGTATTTTTTTAGTAGAGACAGGGTTTCACTGTGTTAGCCAGGATGGTCTCGATCTCCTGACCTCGTGATCCACCCGTCTCGGCCTCCCAAAGTGCTGGGATTACAGGCTTGAGCCACCGCGCTGGGCCTTTTTTTTTTTTTTCAAAGAGGGTCTTACTATGCTGCTTAGGCTGCTCTCAAACTCCTGGGCTCAAGTGATCTTCCTGTCTCAGCCTCCCAGTGTGCTGGGATTGGAGGCATGTGTCACCACACTCAGCCTGTACCTATATTCCTAATCTTCATTGCAACCTTGTGAAATAAGTGGCATTATATACATCCCCATTTTACAGAAGAGGAACCTAAGCTCTGGTTGAAAGTAACTTGCTGAAAGTTACATAGTGAGTGAGCTCAGATAAACTTAAATGTACCTCAGAAGGCCTTCCTGAACACTTAGTCTAGATAGGTTCTCCCATTTCTCTTTATTGCATAAACCATTTTATTTCTTGATAGCATGTAGCATAATTTAGTAATTTTGTGTTTTTTTCCATCCCTCTAGAATTAAGCTTTCTGAGGTCAGGAACTTAATCTGTCTGGTTTACTTCCTCTTGAGTAGCCAGGACTATAGGTGTGTGCCACCACACTCGACTAATTAAAAAATTTTTTTTGTAGAGATGAGGTGTCACTATATTGCCCAGGCTGGTTTTGAACTCCTGAGCTCAGGTGGTCCTCCTACCTGGGCCTCTCAAAGTGTTAGTATTACAGGCGTGAGCCACTGTGCCCAGGCCTGGTTTACCTTTCTTCTCTTTTCTTTTTTTTTTTTGAGACAGTTTCGCTCTTATTGCCCAGGCTGGAGTGCAATGGCACCATCTTGGCTTACCACAACCTCTGCCTCCTGGGTTCAAGCGATTCTCCTGCCTCAGCCTCCTGAGTAGCTGGGATTACAGGCATGCGCCACCATGCCCGGCTAATTTTTGTATTTTTAGTAGACTCGGGGTTTCGCCTTGTTGGCCAGGCTGGTCTTGAACTCCCGACCTCAGGTGATCTGCCCACCTCAGCCTCCCAAAGTGCTGGGATTACAGGCCTGTCCACCACACCCGGCCACCTAGTTTACTTTTCTAATCTTTAGTGCCTAGCATATTGCCTTGCATAGAGTGGGGACTTCATAAATGCATATTTTTGAATGAATAAGTTGTCTCAGAGAGTAGCCCTTCTTAGAAGGGGTGAATTTAGAGTTAAACTTCTTACCCATTTAAGCCATGTTGCTTGATCCTGCTATACCTTTTCAGTTCCCGCATCAGAGACTTCTCCTGGGCCTCCCCCAATGGGGCCTCCACCTCCTTCAAGTAAGGCTCCCAGGTCCCCACCTGTGGGGAGTGGTCCTGCCTCTGGTATGGAGCCCACAAGTTTCCCAGTCGAGTCTGAGGCTCTGATGGAGGATGTGCTGAGACCTTTGGAACAGGCATTGGAAGACTGCCGTGGCCACACAAGGGTAAGCCCTGGCACATCAGAGGTTAGAGAGGGCTTCCATCCACAGCCAAATGCAGGAATGGCTCCCAGAGATAGACCCTCTGACCCAATGGACAATGGCTCTTAGTCCTTTTAGAGTTATGGACTCCTTCAGAATCTGCTAAGGCCTTCCCAGAGAAATGAACACAGGATTTCAGGAGCATTAACAGACTTTTGAAGACCAATCAGTAGAAGATGCTGTGAGAACAAGAGTTGAATTCAGCTCCTATTAGTGAACAACCTGATTTTCTGTACCTCCATGCCATTCAGAGTAGACCCGGCTGATTTTATTCTCAGGAAATTTATATTGTGCCCAGTTAGGAAGAAAGAAACCTCTTCTAGCTATAGTGTTTTCTTAGTTCTTAGAAAAAGAGATCTGAAGAATGTGTTAAAGGGAAAGTAGCATGGGTAATTTCACCTCTTTGGCTCTTAGTTTTCTTTTTGTGAAGTAATGCTACAGGATGAGCTTCTGAGAGTCTGAGAAGCCCCTGAAATTTTAAAATTCTAGTCATAGGAGGAGGTGGGTTAGGAGGACTGGTGGTGGGAAGATGAGAGAGTTCCATTTAATGGCCTCTACTTTTCAATGAAACATCAGGCAGTGTCAGAAGACGACAGCAGGGGAAGGCAGGCTTCATCAGGTTCTCAGTGGGGCCTCTAATCTTTGGGTAAAGAACCAGAACTCTAAAGTGTGGGCTAGAGAAAGCAGGTGCTTCCTATGTGGTGCTGCCCTCCTCTCTCTTCCCCTCACTGGGCTGGCAGCACTGAATTGGAGGGGGGCTTCTGTCTCTTAGAAGCAGGTATGTGATGACATCAGCCGACGCCTGGCACTGCTGCAGGAACAGTGGGCTGGAGGAAAGTTGTCAATACCTGTAAAGAAGAGAATGGCTGTACTGGTGCAAGGTATGGGTGGGTTCTTTGATATAGCCTAAATCCCTTGTCCTGCTGTGGTTGGCTGTGCTGGAGCAAGTGCTGAGATTTTGATTGACTGGGAGGGGAGGCATGGAAGCTCTTGTACCACAGGCTGCTTGCTCAATCCCCATCTCTCTTCAGAGCTTTCAAGCCATCGGTGGGACGCAGCAGATGACATCCACCGCTCACTCATGGTTGACTATGTGACTGAGGTCAGTCAGTGGATGGTAGGAGTTAAAAGATTAATTGCAGAAAAGAGGAGTCTGTTTTCAGAGGAGGCAGCCAATGAAGAGAAATCTGCAGCCACAGCTGAGAACCACACCATACCAGGCTTCCAGCAGGCTCCATAATCCTCGGTTCCGCAGACTCACCGGACACCATCTCCTATGCCTTGGAGGCCTTCTCTCACTTGGCTCCCTTCTTACCACCAACAAGACTGTCCCACTGGGCCTGACCCACCTATAAGGGAAGAGGTCCCACCTGGGCCAGAGGGAGTTCATGTGTTACTCGTAACATGCATTTCAATAAAAACATCTCTGTGGTGGGCCTTGGGTAGGAGAGATGAACCCTTCCTGTGCCAAGCTAGTCCCCTCTGGTGTCCTCGACTGCCGTGCCCCCTGTGCATCTGCAAACGTCTGTTCTGCCTTCTCCATTCATCAGGAAGGGATCTGCTGGGTACATTCAGACTACTGCCTACCTCTTTTTCCCAAATTAGACTGAAAGCACATCCTGTGCTGGGTGGAGCAGCTGTGTTTGGATGGTTTCATTTCAGCATGAGAACAGACTCAAATAGAACGGGGAGACTTTTCCCTCAACAAAAAGAAAGACAGTCCTATTTGCACTGTATCACCCTTGAGATACAGGTGTTACAGAGATTAGAACCACACTGAGTGGGGTTTTTGCTGTATAAATCAAAGGAGAAAAAGACCAGATTACTGAGATTTAGGATTTTAACTGACATGCCAAACAAGCTGCTGCCTCATTTTGGGTTTCGGTGTGAACTCTAAGGTCTCTTATAACCCTTTGAGAGAGGTACTTGGTGGATTATCATGCTGTGAGAAGGGAGGGTACAAGGTTTTTGGTGTTGGAATAGAGGAACTGGTACTTAGAGGTGGTAAGCAGAAAAGGCATGGGGGGAGACTGGGGATGGCTATAGGCTGGGACAGCCCCTGTTTTCCAAGAGTCCTGCTTTGGAATGGATAGGGGAGGGGTTGCTGGGCAGGGTCCTGGTTCCAGGAAGGCTGCTTCCTGGAAAGACAAGAACAGCCCTTGGCAGCGGCCAAGCTATTGCTGTTTATGGTTTGGAGGCTCATGTAACCTGCCACTGTAGTATGCCTCAGGTTCTAATTGCTGCTGGAAGTGGGCCTAGTGGGAACTGGGAATGGATCTGAGGCCTCTGAGCTTAACCAGGCCTGCCGGGGCCCTCAGCTGTGTGGCTGAGATGAGAAAATAAGCATTGAGAACACTGGAGCCAAGGCATTTCTTTGAATGTTTACTAAGCAGCCAGAAGGTGACTTACTCCATTCCCCAGTTCCAGCCCCTGAGCATAGAGGGTTTAGGGTTAGGAGGAGTACCACAGACCGAAGAGGAAGTAGAGTTAAGGGCTTGGCAAGTTGCCCACTCCTATCCCTGGTCTAGCTGCCTCAGAACTAAAGGAGGCCTGGAACTAACAAGTCACTCCCTTCCAGATTAGATGAGGCCAAGCTGGCCTTTGGATGCCCCAGGAAGAGGTGGTGGCAGCAGTGGCATGAGGGATCCCTCTGTAACTCCACATGCCGGGTCATCTGCAACTGGATGAGATGTCCATTTCAAATTGAGCGTCATCTGGAGAGAGAAAAGGCAGGAGGACAGGTTGCTGGTCTGAGGATCTGCAGGCAGTGCAGAAACCCCTCTTGGAATTGAACCCCCACACTGTGTCACAGTGGCATTTGAACTCAAAGGCTGGGACAATTCTTAATTCCTGCTTTCCTTACCGGGTATCTCTTCCTCTGTCTCCTGCTCCTTCAGCTCCTCCAGCTTGGAGAGTGGAGCTGTTGGAGGAGTTGTGACCCCGGGAATCTGAGGGAGGCAGCAGGGGGGTGTCCGGGCAATGGGTGAGTTCTTGCACTCCAGCAGGAAGTTTCGGTCGTAGATGATCCTGGTGCCTGTCAAGGGGTTGGGACTGAGGTAAGAGTCAGGAGCTTGGGTACAGAGGTGACTGGAGTCCCAGACTCAGGCCTTTTGGGGCCTGGACGTGAGGGTGGTGTTGAATTTCCCTGTGTATGAAAGGACATCTGCTCTGAAGCCCAGCTAGGTTCTCAGCAGATAAGCTTTCATAGTGCTTAAAATCTTCCAGACCTAACCAAGATGTGGGTATAAAGCAAGTGGGGCATCCCAGCTGGTATAGGCAGGGGCTTTATGTTTGGGGGAGCTTCAGATCTTGGCTGTAAGAGGAACACCAAACTTGGAGTTCAGGTACTTCATGCTGCTCCTCTACCACTCTGAAACCTTGCTTTGGTCTCACCAGTGAAGGTGAGACCTAGACTAACAGCCTCAGGTGATTCAAGAAATGAAATAGTTGTGAAGGGTTCCACCCAGTGCTGTCACCTGGGCTATCTCCTGCCGGGAGGAGAAACAGTACTGTTCTAATCCTGACCCCTCCCAGGTCCTATAAGGTTCATACTAGCTCAGAGGAACTTGGCCACATAATGTCCTCAAAGGGCCCTGCCCTGTTCCTCCCCTCCACTTCCGCGTGGCAGGAATCCCTGGGTCGGGAGCCCAGCAGCTCGTGATCCCAGGCTGCTCGCCCAACCAAACAGATGCCAGCCAGCAACACATAAACGGAGCAACTGCCCCAACTGTTCTAGCCATTGCACTTCTCAAGACCCAGTGTTTCCGGCTGAGGTCACGCTCAGTAGGGGACCCTGGCCCCTATTCCTAGGAAGCAAAGTCGTGAGGGGTAAGGAGCACGTGTAAGGCGCCAAGAACCCAGGCCACAATGAAGGATTATGGCCCAAACACACGGAAGTTAGGCTCATGGCCTCGTTGCATCACTTAGAAGTTTTTGGGAACTGAGCTTCCGCTCCAAACATTCTCCCCCAAAGCTACCTGTAGAGGGGCCTGCAGACAAGTCCTAGGCCTGTCCCTCCCCTACCCCCGACCCGCAACAACAAGCACACGCTAATATGCCCACAGCCTGTGGACCCCTGCCCGGCCCGCTGACCTCCCGGGGTAGTGGCGTATAGCGTGCCCCCCGGCGTGGTGCTGTAGCAGTCGGGCAGCTGGTCCCGGCCCCAGGGAATCGGGCAGCTAGTGGACGTTGACATAGCGAGCGGGAGGGGCAGCAAAGTAACCGCCTGGCATTGAGGTCGAGGGGCGCAGCTCTGAGTCTGAGGCGGACTCAACCGACCACGTGCAGCTGCTGGTAACACTAGAACAACATCATGCCCAGGGTGGGCCACCCGGGGTCACTCAACCTGACAGTCCCGCCCTATCCGATAGGAAACCTGCCTGGTTCAGAGAAAGCTGGAAATGCGTCCAAAGTCCCAGGCCCCGCACCGGCTTCCAGTTCCTGCTGGCCCAGAGCTGGCCAACCTGCCTCTGAGTGCTGCAGCAGCTCAGCTATTTACTGTTCATAGCTGGGAGCTGGGGGCAGGCGAAGTAGGGCAAGCATTTTGGATTCCTCGCCAGCTTTTGGATAGTAAAGCACTATGATTAGCCAAAGTCACACATCTTGCAGGAAGGGAAGCTGGGATTCAAATCTGACTGCATCTGATTCCAGGACTGTGCCCTTAAACCCAGCAGTGTACTGCCTCCCATAAACAGTAACAGTACAAGGCCGGGTGCTCATGCCTGTAATCCCAGCACTTTGGGAGGCTAAGGCGGGTGGATTGCTTGAGCCCAGGAGTCTGAGACCAGCCTGGGCAACATGGTGAAACTAAAATACAAAAGTTAGCTACTAAAAATACAAAAGTTAGCTGGGTGTGGCAGCATATGCCTGTGGACCCAGCTACTCAGGAAGCTGAGGTAGAAGGATGGGTTGAACCCAGGGGGTGGAGGTTGCAGTGAGCGGAGATCACGTCACTGCACTCCAGCCTGGGTGACAGAGCGAGACCCTGTCTCAAAACAAAAACAGTACGGGGTGAAACATGCCTTGATGGCCTGGAGCACAGCAGGAAAGGGAAGGTCAGGAAGGGCTGGTCATCTTTCTGAAGAAGTGGTACCTGGACTAATAAAAGGATGAGTCAAGTTTGGGGGCTACAGCTGAGGCATCACCAGTCAGGAGGCCTGCCCTTTGATCTCTCTACCAGTTAACTAAGGAAGGGCAGGGGGCTAGTGAGGAGGGCTTGGTCTTTAGTTAGCAGGAAAGAAAGGTCAAAGAGTTTGACCTTGGAGGTAAGTTTTTTTTATGTAGATATAGTGATAAGACAGGCTGGAGCGAGTTGGTGGGATTGGTGAAGATGTATATACACTGGAAATCTTGAATTCATCCAGCTGTCCTCTGTTTGGCTTCCTCAAAATCAGTACTGCCTCCACTGTCCCTTCCCCTCACCAAAAATTAAGTATAGACCACCTGACTGTACCCATTTATCAATATTCCCTCAGCTCTGGTTTCATCAGATTTCTCCTTAGGTCTGATTTCTTCACTCATTTAAAAAAATATTGCTTCTCAAACTATTTATTTTCTGAGATAGGGTTTTGCTCTGCTGCCCAGGCTGGAATGCAGTGGTGTAATCTCAGCTCACTGCAAACTCTGCCTCCTGGGCTCAGGGCATCATCCCACCTCAGCCTCCTGAGTAGCTGGGACCACAGGCACCTGCCACCACAGTGGGCTAATTTTGGTATTTTTTGTAGAGACAAGGTTTCACCATGTTGCCCAGGCTGGTCTCAAACTCCTGAGCTCAAGTAACCTACCTGCCTTGGCCTCCCAAAGTGCTGGTATTATAAGTGTGAGCCACCACACCTGGCCAGCTTCTCAAACTTTAATGTGCATATAAATCATCTGGAGATACTGTTTTGTTTTGTTTTTTTTGGTTTTTTTTTTGAGACGGAGTCTCGCTCTGTTGCCCAGGCTGGAGTGCAGTGGCCGGATCTCAGCTCACTGCAAGCTCCGCCTCCCGGGTTTACACCATTCTCCTGCCTCAGCTTCCCGAGTAATGCCCACCACCTCGCCTGGCTAGTTTTTTGTATTTTTTAGTAGAGACGGGGTTTCACCGTGTTAGCCAGGATGGTCTCGATCTCCCGACCTCGTGATCCACCCGTCTCGGCCTCCCAAAGTGCTGGGATTACAGGCTTGAGCCACCACGCCCGGCCGAGATATTGTTAAAATGAGAATTCTGACACAGTATTGGTCTGGGGTGAGATTTTGGATTTTTTTTTTTTGAAACAGGGTCTCACTGTCACCCAAGCTGGAGTGTAGTGGTACAATCATGGCTCACTGCAGTCTCAACCTCCCGGGCTCAGGTGACCCTCCCACTTCAGTGTCCTGAATATCTGGGACCACAGGTGCATGCCACTGTACCTGGCTAATTTTTAAATTTTTTGTAAAGGCGGGGTCGCACTATGTTGCCCAGGCTGGTCTCAAACTCGTGGGCTCAAGTGATCCTCCCACCTTGGCCTCCCAAAGTGTTGAGATTACAGGCATGAGCCACTGAGCCCAGCCAATTGTGGATTTTTTTTTTTTTTTGAGATGGAGTTTCACTATTGTCGCTCAGGCTGGAGTGTAATGGCATGATCTTGGCTCACCACAACCTCCGCTTCCCAGGTTTAAGCGATTCTCCTGCCTCAGCCTCCAGAGTAGCTGGGATTATAGGTATGTACCACCACACCCAGCTAATTTTGTATTTTTAGTAGAGACAGGGTTTCTCCATGTTGGTCAGGCTGGTCTTGAACTCCCGACCTCAGGTGATCCACCTGCCTCGGCCTCCCAAAGTGCTAGGATTACAGGTGTGAGCCACCACACCTGGCTGATATTTTTCTTTTTAAGATGGAGTCTTGCTCTGTCACCCAAGCTAGAGTGCAGTGGCATGATCTCGGCTCACTGCAACCTCTGCCTCCTGGCTTCAAGCAATTCTCCTGCCTCAGCCTCCCGAGTAGCTGGAATTACAGGCACCCACCACCACACCTGGCTAATTTTTTGTATTTTTAGTAGAGACCGGGTTTCACTATGTTAGCCAAGCTGCTCTCGAACTCCTGATCTCCAGTGATCTGCCTGCTTTGGCCTCCCAAAGTGCTAGAGTTACAGGTATGAGCCACCAGGCCTGGCTGCAATTGTGAATTTTTAATACAGTAATGCAAATGCTTCAGGGCCTCAGAAACACACTTCAGGTAGCAAGGGTTTGCATATTTTATTGTCCCGAAAAGGATTTTGGGTGTCTTACAAAATGGTGCATGCCAAAATGAAGTGTCTTAGCAGTGCTGGAGGGTAAAGCTTGGGAACAGATTGCAGAGAATCATTTATGATAACTCACCTTTTATACAAGGTGAGAAAGTGTCTGACGGGGAATGTGAGAATAGCATGGAGGATGGTGAGATTTGAGGGTGGAGAGTCTAGCCTAGTGAAACCAGGTGGGGAAATGGGTGGTGGCTGTGAGGATGGAGAGAAGTGGATGAGATTCAGATACACAGAGGAAGAATTAAGTGACTGATTAAGAGTGGGGTGAGAGAAAGTGTAAACTAGGATAATTTTCAGTCTTTTGGCTTGAGAGTCTTGGTGGCTAGTAGCACCAACTAATATGATAGGGAAAACAAGAAGAGCAGCATATCTTATGTGAGAGAATGAATAATATGTGTCCAGATGGAGCACAGTAGGAAGCTAGATATACTGAAGCCATGGGGAGAACTCTGAGTTAGTGGCTCAAATTTGGGTGTTGTGAAATTCAAGAGTGTGGGGATGGGCTAGGATCGGTGGCTCACACCTGTTAATTCCAGCATTTTGGGAGGCTGAGGTGGGAGGACTGCTTGAGCCCAGGAGTTCAAGACCTGGGCAATACAGCAAGACCCTATCTCCATTTATAACTAAATAAATGTGGGATGAGATCATCTGGGGAGAAGATACAGTATAGAAACCTGGGCATATCAACATTTATTTATTTAAAAGGTAGTAGAGAAAAATAATTCACCAAAAGAGACTGAGAAAGATGAGTCGGAAATAGGAGAATCAGGAGAAAAGTATCAAAGATTTTCAAGAACGGTCATTGTGGAAGTGAGGTCTTCCTTCTATTAATCTCTACCACAAAATAACAGTCGCAGTTACTACTACTATAATGACTACTGCTTGCAGCTAACTCTTCTGGAGTCACTGTGTGCTGTAAGAGCTGGGGAATACGTAGCTGGCTTTAGAGAGAAAGCCAGATTCATCATCCATGCAATCTGGATGAAGAAACAAGAATTTAAATCAGAGGGTCAATACTAATTACTGGCTGGGCAAGGTGGTTCATGCCTGTAATCACAGCACTCTGGGAGGCTGAGGCAGGCGAATCATTTGAGGTCAGGAGTTCAAGACCAGCCTGGCAAACATGGAGAAACCCCATCTCTACTAAAAATACAAAAATTAGCCAAGTGGTGGTGTGCGCCTGTAATCCCAGCTACTTGGGAGGCTGAGATAGGAGAATTGCTTGAACTCAGGAGGCAGAGGTTGCAGTGAGGCAAGATGGCACCACTGCACTCCAGCCTAAGCAACAGAGTGAGACTCCGTCTCATCAAAAAATAAAAACCAACTAATTACCTATTAGAATATGGAAGTGTTTAAAAATACCTATGCCCAGGCCCCACCCCCAGATATCTGATTAAACCTATAAGGAAATACCAGGCCTCTGTTATCAGGCAAATTACTCTGGATTCACATTTAAGCGTTTGATTCATGATCTTCTTTTCCAAATTAGGGGTTGAAGCCCAGGGTCATGCCTTTTATTGGAGGTGGTCTTAACACACTTAAGTTTTTGATACTTAAAACCACCTTTCTCTCACCCATTGCCTAAAGGAGAGGATGGAGGCACATGAACCTGCCTGTTTGCAAATGACAAATCACTGAGGATAAATGGAAAATGCAGTATTACCAGAGCCCCTCACTATAGGGGGCAGGGTCCACTGGGAAGACATCATAACCAGTTGTATGTCTTGGTAGAAATGCTTCTTGTTAGAGAACAAGATGTTCATTCAGAAGCTGTTTTCCTACAGGCTTGCTTGCCTTTTCTTGGATTTACAATGTGGTCTAAGGCCTTTTTGTTTTTGTTTTTCATTAGATGAAGTCTCGCTCTTATCACCCAGGCTGGAGTGCGATGGCACGATCTTGGCTCACTGCAACCTCTGCCTCCTCGGTTCAAGTGATTCTCCTGCCTCAGCCTCCCGAGTAGCTGGGATTACAGGCGCATACCACCACACCCGGCCAATTTTTGTA